TCTTATACCCTCTCACTAATTTACTAGTAATTAATATGTTTTTACCATTGAATATCTATTCCATATTTACATGCAACCAACTCGCCTTACTGAAATCATCTTCAAAAATGCAGTGGGGGATAAGAGTTGTATCTTTAGTCTTATCCAGACTATATAGTTTACTTGTATTAAGGGGTCATAATAATGTTTTTGCGTCTACAGCTAGTGAAGATCTTCAGAAGTTCTTTATGCAGTTGTTGAGATTATATGTGTTTTTTTTTACATCATTGAAATATTCGTGTTGTCGCATGATTGAAGTATTCATCATGTTGTAGAAGCATTAAAGTACCCTATATTCCGGTTACAATGAAAAAAAATGTCTAAAGTTAGCCATAAGCAAACATAAAAATAAGGAAAATGATACATATACTCTCTAAAATTATATTTTTGGTTATATATTGACAATTGTCATTATTGTACCGTTAAAATTGACAATTTTCATTATTTGTATTATTAAAATTGATGATTTTCATTATTTTTATTGTTAAAATTAACGATTTTTATCAATTTTAATGACAAACTAACGAAAACTATCAATATATAACAGAGTGTATAACTTTAGAGAGTGAATATATTAATATCTTATAAATAATGTTACATTTTTCAAGGCAACCGATAACAAAAGCAAGGTTTGGTAGTCGAAGTACTCTCTTTGTTTTCTTTTTTTTTAAACTGCCGAAGAGTTTTTTATTAATGCCGAATGAGAGTACCCTTGTCGTTCTATATATATTATAATCAGTACTCTTTTTACTTTTATTTATGTGTCTATGTAAATATTTTGTATAATTTTAAGCAAAATGTTTATTTATATATAAATAATAATTAATTTTTTTATAATATTTATTGAGTAATTTTATACTTTTATACTTTTATTTAATAAAAAAATTTATTTTTTGTTTTTTTGCACAGCAAAAGGAATATTATTTATAATTAAAATAAAGGGACTACAAGGGTACTTAAACCCATAACAAACAAAATTAAATCAGTGAGTGCCTATAACAAGAGCTTAAGGTGCAGTGCCTAGAATTATAGCAAAAAGCCTGCCAAACTCAAAAACTTTAAGACAGCACAGCACATTTAAATTCCAAATCTGCACGCTGCACCAACTTCATTTTATCTGCCATGTTTATCTCTCAAGCATTCTACCGGGTCCAAGATCCAGTTGGATATACTAAAGGAATACCCTGCTTTTTTGTTCTAATCCATTGAAATGAACGTAGCTGCACTAGTTCGAAGATCCTATTGACTTCTTGCTCATGACTTTTGAATATCCTTTCATTCCTAGCAATCCATAAGGACCAGATCGTTGCAAACCATACAACATCCCAACCTACTCTGATGTTTACACTTTTAAAAAGGGATGAGTGTTGCTCAAGAGATGCATAACAATTATACGCTCTTACTGAGGTAGTCCTCCACCATTGGAGACATTTAGACCACATTGAATATGCAGTATTGCAGTGAAGAAATAAATGATTTGTGTCTTCAAACTGAGGTAGTCCTCCACCATTGGAGACATTTAGACCACATTGAATATGCAGTATTGCAGTGAAGAAATAAATGATTTGTGTCT